TTAGAGACAAAAAGAGAAACTCCCATCTACATTTTTGGCCCCCTTGGACCAGACAACGATGACAGAAAATATCATCAAAGTTTACATGCCACGGATCAAAATGTACAGGCTTCAAAAATGAACCCACAATGGTAGACACAGATCCCTGATGGCAGGCATTATTTATGACATCGATTCTCATCAAGTTTGTGACCTGAGCCCGTGCCTACTGGTGTGGAGATGAAATTTTGTATTCCTGTATGTTCAATGTAATCTTTGCTTTCTTATGTCTAGTCACCTTCAGCAGTGATCAGTGATATCAAATCATTTTCAGGTCGAGGCAGGAATATTGAGGGCATATACTGAGCTGGACCTAGTACATGCGGGGTTTGGATAAAGTGGAGCATGAACCTAAGCGCAATAGCTATGAGGAACTTGGCCTTTATAGTAGATGCTTTCTGAGGTACCTTTCCAACTCATATGGTTTACTGCCTTCTTGGAATGGAACCCCTATCCCACATAGGCTCAGCGTGGTGGGGCTGGGACACCACGCTCCTACCATGAACACATCTCCATAGCAGGTGGAAGTAGGGTTCCATCTGTTTCTATCACTGTGAGGATGGCCATAATGTGCAACTCCAGCCCTCTTCTGCTTCCCTGTGTTCTTCCCTGAGAAGCAGACAGGGACAGAAGAAGGTAACATGCAGAGCGGGCTCTGCCCCTTGCCTGGGTGAGGGCGACCCCAGTGGCCCAGACTGACCAGCTCAGCTACCACCCGGGCCCACATCCAGGGCCTTAGGTCCGTCCACCCTAACATCTACACCATCTATGTCCTGCTGGAGAGCGTGAAAGGATGGGTCCTGTGGGTACCCTCAGGATCTCCATGACTCCAGTGGCTTCGGGATATCCGAGCTGAGTTTCTGTGAGGGCCCAGTGATGAAATGGTGTACCAGAAACCAGAGGCCCTGAACCAGACCACTCATTGCAACAAACGTTTAAGTAAAGATGATTGTACAAAAGGGTATACTATGTGACACACCAATCCCAATGCCACTATGATGAATGATTGCATATGTATGCCGTGTATATGTATGTGTACGTATAGGTGTATGTGTTCGTGCTGGTGTGTGCATATGTGGGGAGTATTTCTGTGTGTATATATATGTTTGTATGTGTGTGTGTGTTTGTATGTGTGTGTTTGAGCATGTGTGTCTATGTGTTTATGCATGTGTGTATGTGGGTGGGTGGGTGTGTGCATATGTTGGGGTGTCTCTGTGTGTATGTGTGTTTGCATGTGTGTATATATATGTATGTGTGTATTTGTATGTGTATGTACAGGGGAGAATTGTGTTGGGATGGGTGTGTGTGTATGTATGTTTGTTTCAGTGTGTATGTGTGTTGGGGTTGGGGTGGGTGTGTATGCATGTTGGAGTTAGCATGTGTATGTGTGTATATGGAGGGTGCACATGTGTGTGTGTGTGTGGAGGGTGCACATGTGTGTGTGTGTGTATGGAGGGTGCACGTGTGTGTGTGTATGGAGGGTGCACATGTGTATGTGTGTATGGAGGGTGCACATGTGTGTGTGTGTGTGTATGGAGGTGCACGTGTGTGTGTATGTGTGTGTGGAGGGTGCACATGTGTGTGTGTGTGTGTATATGGAGGGTGCACATGTGTGTGTGTGTGTGTGTGTGTGTGTGTGTGTGTGTATGGAGGTGCACATGTTTTGCAGTTTTCGAGGGTTAACCCATAATCATCATATTGGGAAGTAGACAGGCATGGTGCTGCAGCAGAATTGAGAGCTTTACATTTTTTTTTTCAGACAGGGTTTCTCTGTGTAGCTTTGTAGACCAGGCTGGCCTCAAACTCACAGAGCTCCACCTGCCTCTGCCTCCCGAGTGCTGGGATTAAAGGCGTTTGCTTGAGCTTTACATCTTGATCTGCAGACAGGAGAGAGAGAGAGAGAGAGAGAGAGAGAGAGAGAGAGAGAGAGAGAGAGAGAAAGAAGTACCTGGTGAAGACTTTTGAAACCTCAAAGCCCACCTCCACTGACACACCTCCCCCAACAAGGCCACACCTACTCTGACATGGCCACACCCCTTAATCTTTCCCTAAACAGTTCACCAACTAGGAATTAGACATTCAAATATATGAGCCTATGGGAGCCATTCTCATTCAAACCGCCATATCAGATGTCTTCAATTGCTCTCCACCTTGTATTCTTAGCACATGTATATGGAGGGTCTCTTCAAGAGACCTGTCAAGGTCTCTCGCTGAAGCCAGCTGATCCCTAGTGTTAGGATTACAGACAGTCACCATACCAGCCTGGTTTTCACTTGGGCTTAGGGATCTGGACTCAGTCCTCACACTTGCATAGTAAGAGTCCATATAATGAACCTGCTCCAAATTCTCAATAGAAAGGGTTTTAATAAATGAATCGTGAGTCACGGGTAGCTGAATGTCTGCTAAACAAATGTGCTAACCATTCCTGAGTGTGCCAATCATGGGCTGGGAGCAGTGGGGCCAGGGACAGCAGCTGGTGTTAGTGCCAGTTGCCTCGGAACAGCAATGGCAGCACCCAGCTATTGGTTCCATTATCTATATCTGTGTTACCAAATTGATGCTCTTCTGTGGCTGAGTTCAACAGTCCTCCAGGGAAACAGAACCAACTGTTGAACATATGTATTCTCTCTCTCTCTCTCTCTCTCTCTCTCTCTCTCTCTCTCTCTCTCCCTCTCTCACACACACACACACACACACACACACACACACACTGATGAATTCTGTGACAGTTTGAGCTCCATAGAAAGACCGTGTCTCAAAACAAAATAGAATGAACTCATTTTTCTGTAGTAACACTTATAAAGGAGCCCAGGCACGGTGGCTTTAAAAAGCAATTACTTCTAGCCTTTGCTATTCATTGGCCTTCATGTCAACTGTGGGTCACCAGGATTTAGCATCCAGGCAAAACACTTGCACAAATAAAAAATTAGTCCCCAAAACATTTTATTAAAAGTAAATTAATAATAAAAATGTTTGATGACAATGTAAATAGATAACAGAAGTTATTCTGTGTACAGAATTATTTTAGGACAGTAGAAGAGAGTTCAAATACGAGTGCTGGGATTGCAAAGTTTAAGTGATACCTTTTGTTTTGTTTCTCCTCCAAGCGTTTAAGATGGTATATATTATATACATTGACGTGTGTCACACAGACATCATCCTCCTCCTCAAAGACAGACACTTCTTGCAGAAATTTTAATTTTATGGGCTTGAAATAGACATGAGTGACAGTGTTTGGGCAAAGGAAGAAGAATGCTGTGAGAAGACACACAGGGTTGGGAGACTTGGTGCAATGTGTCTTCTCTGCTCTTTATAAAGGTCTTCATTTTCTAAAAAGCTCTTTCAATGAACATTCGCAGGAGCTCTGAAGGCGGCAGGAGATGAAGCTCAGCGTGATTGCCGAGGGTACGGTCCTCTGTGCTGTCCCACGTGAGAAAGCAAACCAAAGCTCAGGCCATATTCTTTCATCTGTTTGCCGAATTGATTGCTGCCTTTGCTTAACGACAAGGAGTAAGTAGTGTATGGAGGCAGTGTATCAGCTGAGGTCTCATGGAGAGGACAGGATAACTCCAAGAATAGTCCAGCAGAGAACACAAAAGCAGAGGCTTCTGGGGGAGGGGGAGGAGCTTGGTCCACAGGGGAACAGGAAGAGACCTGGCAGTGGGTCTGGGCTGAGGGAGCATTGAATGTTGGTTTCTTTACTGCATGTCACACACATGACCTCAGCCATGCACACTCCTAAGGTCATACAGCCAATTGAGTAGCAGGTTTTCGTTTCTCCTCATCTCTGGGGGCTGAAGCCTTGTCTCCTCTGGAGCTTCTGAGATGCTTTTACAGAAGGTAGTAGTCATATTTCACAAAAGGAAGGCCACAGTGGAGGACACATGAAGGAGATTACTCATGAGAACACCTCAGATGTTTTCTTAACCTGTTACCCCACCCTCCAGAGCTCTGACTTACTTGTTCAGTATGGATATTTTATACTACAATAGATTCCTGGGTGACCACAATGTTCAAATGCATATATCACACATATCTTCCTACAGACTCTTAAACAGGAACCTCTCTTAGGGGCAGGTGAAATGGCTCAGTGGGTAAAGGCACTTGCCACAAGCCTTGACTTTGTAACTTAGATTCCTGGGACCCACACAGTTGAAAACAGGTAACTCATTCCTGCAAGTTGTCCTCTGACCTCCACCTTACATGCCATGCCATGCATATGTCACACACACACACACACACACACACACACACACACACACACGCTTAAATAAAAACAAAAATAAGCATTTTTTTTTTTTGCTTCTTTGTATTTGAGACAAGTTCTCACTATGTAGCCTTAGTTGGCCTGGTACTCTTTACGTAGACCAGGCTGGTCTTGAACTCACAGAGAACCACCTGCCTCTGCATATGGCACCACATGCACGCAGCACAAGAGCCAATCTTATTTTAAACAGGAGATGATCCAGTGCATAGGGCTCTTGCCTTCCAAGCATGAGGGACTGAGTTCAATCCTCAGAACTGATGCAAAAGAGGGCACAGTTGAGTGCATATGTATTCCCAGTGCTGACGGCATGAAAACAAGTGACTTCCAGGGGTGCAAGAGCCAGCTAATCTAGCCTAATTAATGAGCCCAAGTCCCATGAGCAACACTGTCTCAAAAATAAGGGGTATGGCTCCCTAGAAATGACACCCAAGACTGGCCTCTCTTGTCTGTTCACACATTCACTAACATATACGAAGCATATGAACATGAAACGTAGAGAGACAGATGGACAGACAAACGTAACAAGTTGACTGGCACATAAAATAATTTTAAAGTTAGTTTGAATGGCTGCAGAATGTAGTTCAGTGGTAGAGCTCTTACCTAGCATGTACAAAGCCTTGGGTTCCACCTCTAGGACCCCAGAAACAAACAAAACAAAGCAAGACCAGGTCCCATTATTTGGTAAATCCATTCATGCACCTGGTAAACAGGACCCCCTAACAAGTAGGAAACAATTGTTTTTGACTGAGCCTAACACAGTCCGGTTGTTGAATTGTGCCCCACTCTGAAACATGATAGGGAACAGGGATCAGTTCAAATCTACTTGTTAAACAGAAAAAGTCCTTCTGTGGACCACTTTGCATAGAGCCCCTTTCAGGTCCCTGTTCCTCAGGCTGTAGATGAAAGGGTTCAGCATGGGGGTCACCACGGTGTACAGCACGGTGGCTGCTGTGTCCTTCTCAGAAGAATGTGCAGATGAGGGGTTGAAATACACAGCAATGATGGTGCCGTAGAAGAGGCCGACCACAGCCAGGTGGGAGCTGCAGGTGGAGAAGGCCTTCCACCTTCCCCTTGTGGACGAGACTCTCAGGACAGCAGAGGTGATGTGGATGTAGGAGATCAGGATGCAGACAAATGGGGTGACCATGATCACAGCTCCCTCTGTAAGAATCATCAGCTCATTGAGGTGTGTGTCAGAGCAGGAGAGTTTCAGGAGGGGAGTGATGTCACAGAAGAAGTGGGGGATGATGTTGTCCGCGCAGAATGAGAGTCGAGCCATGAGCAGGGTGTGCAATAGGACATTCAAATTGGCGGTGATCCACGATCCAGCCACCATCAGAACACAGAGCTTATGGGTCATCTTGGTTGTGTAGTGTAAAGGGTGGCATATGGCCACAAAACGGTCATAGGCCATCACAGCCAGCAGGAAATTGTCCATGTCAACAAACATGAAAAGGAAATACATCTGTGTGAGACACCCAGAGAAGGAAATGGTCTGACTCCCGAGTATGTGGTTGGCCAGCACCTTGGGGACAGTGGTGGAGGAGAAGCAGACATCCACGAAGGACAGGTTGCTGAGGAAGAAGTACATGGGGGTGTGCAGGTGGGAGTCTGTGCCGATGGCCAGGATGATGAGCAGGTTTCCCAGGACAGTGACCAGGTACATGATGAGGAAAAGCAGGAAGAGGAGCTGCTGCTGCTGGGGCTGCCTGGAGAGTCCCAGGAGGAGGAACTCGGAGACGCTGGACTGGTTGGTGCCTCTCATTGGACTATGAGCAGGCAAAGATGATTGAACCCTGGAACTTGGGAATACTGGTGAAGGCTGGACCACTACAATTACAGAGAAATAGGTCAGAGGAGTGGGTGAAAGCATCAGCATTTTGCTCCCTGCAGTGACTTCACCTCCTCATTAGCAGTGAGCTCCCCTGTGTATGGGCTCTGTGCCACAACTCAGGAAGGATGCTGGACCGAATGTGACGGTGGGGTCCTGGTGAGCCATGTGAGCTGCTTGAACTCTCTACCATGGCTCCCTTTTTGATCTTTGAGACAGGGTCTCCCTGTATTGTCAAACGTGGCCTTGAACTTAGAATCCTCCTGACCTCGCCTCCCAAGTTCATGGGTGACAAGACAATGCCTGACCATCTAATGTCTTTTAAAAGTTCAAATTTTTATATTATTTTTATTTTATGTGTATTGGTGTTTTGCCTGCGTGAATGTCTGTGTGACGGTATCAGATCCTCTGGAGCTGGAGATAGAGACAGTTATGCACTGCCAAGTGAGTGCTGGGCCCTCTGGAGGAGCAGCCAGTGCTCTTAACTGCTGAGCCATCTTTTCAGACCCTTAAAATAAAATAAAAGTGTGATTTTTTAAAAATTACAGACATAGCCTGGTGGTGGTGGTGGTGGTGGTTGTGGTGCTCACCTTTAATCCCAGCACTTGGGAGGCAGAGGGAGGCAGATCTTTGAGTTCAAAGCCAACTTGATCAACAGAGCAAGTTCCGGGACAGCCTACAGGGCTACACAGAGAAGCCCTGTCTCAAAAAAAAATATATATATATAGGAAATCTAACAGAGTTAGGAGTGAGGGTGTGTTTGGTACACGCCTGGAGCCCCAGGATGCAGAAGGTGGTGGAGGCAGGAGGATGGAGAACTCAAGACCATCAGCTACATAGCCAGTGGGAGGACAGCCTACACTGCATGCAGTTTGGTTTAGTGGATTAATGAACAAAAATATTACAGTGCATATATACAATATGTGGTGCTTTATTTAAAAGTAAGAACAAAGTTAGATCATTTGATGGAGAATGGATGGAAATAATACTAACATGTTGTGTTAAATATTCCAGACTCAGAAAAATCAAAACAAAACAAAACAAGCTCCATTTCTTTTTATTTGTTTAATGTTTCGGACTTTTTTTTGCCCAGACATCACTTCTTTGGGTAGCATTGGCTGTCCTGGTACCTGCTCTGTAGACCCCCAGCTGGCCTCAACATCACAAAGATCTGCCTGCCTTTGCTTCCTGAGTGCCTCCCACTGCCTGGCTACATTTCTTTTCAAATGGGAAATGCAGGTTTTAAAAAAAAAGACATGACAGGCCTGGTGGCACACACCTTTAATTCCACTGATCCAGAGGCAGAGGCATGGAAGGTCACTGTGAGCCAGCCTGGTCTACATAGAGAGTCTCAGAGCTGCCAGAGCTATATAGAGAGACTGTATCTGTTTTTAAATTAATATTATTTTAATTAATATTAATATTATGTTGATAATTAATTCATAATAAGAACATTACAGTAGAAGGGGACCCACTTCGAGGGACAGGGAAACCAGAGGGGATGCAAAAGACAGTAAAGGATAAGATGATTTGCATGTGATCAAAGTATGTTTTATACATGTGCAAAATTGCCATGATAAAACCATTATTTTGTATAATTAATCCATATTAACAATAAAATACAAAACCATAAAAAACACATGTACTTACACACAGTGGTTGCCATCGATGCTAACAGGCAGCAAGCATTTAACGCCCCAGTATTTTCAGCATCATCAGCATCATTAGCAATGTTGCCTTAGAGGAAACATGGGCTCTCCATCTTCTCTAATCTGAACATATCACACATTCCTGTTTGTTCTATGGACCAATTTGGCCCCACCCAAAACCACCCCCAGACTGAAGATCACATTGTGCTGCTCTCTAGACTCATGTCTACAGAGCTCACCTCTGAGTTCTAAAACAGGACTTCTTGGCTAGGTGTACTGAGCTGAACTTGTAGAATTAAAGCAAAAGGAATGAATCAGATGTATGAGCAGAAACTTGGCCAACCTGAACTTCCCACAGTAAGGATCCCAGAACCTGACCAGACAGACACTGGTTATAATGGGGTGATTATAAAGAATGCTCAGTGGCCACAGGACTGTATCCATGGCTCCACTTAAAAATAAGGGGTGTCCCTGGAAATTTTCCCCTCCAATATGCCATATAAAGTCCTACCGACCTGACTTGGAGAGCAGGTGGCAGTCCTCACTGCCACCAGAAGTGTTGGGCTTGCTTCGCTTCTTTTATTTGGCAGAAGTTATTGTTCTGAGGGAAAGGAGGTGTCATTGGTGTTGTCGGGTTGTATGGAGGAGGCTCTGGAGCCTTGGCTCAGCCCTTAGAACTAGAAGGACATCTCGGGGAGTTGAAGGGCAAGCTCTTCAGAGGAGCGTCCATGGCCACTAGGGCCGTGGTCCCTGAGAGCCTCGTTAGAGGCAAGCAGAGAACAATTTGTCCTTTCTCCTTTTGGGGCTCTTTGGGGTCCAACACTGAAAATAAAGACCTGTCACCTGAGTTTCTGCCTCACGACGACTTAACACTGAAAATGGTGGATGCTGAGGGTAACTACAGGCAACACCCTTCTGCTACAGAAGAACCAAGAATCCAGTATTTTCTCTACCCAACCAGTTTGAGTTAACATCATTGAGAAATGTGAAGCCAATGAGAAGGTGAATCAAGAGACTCACCTTCAAAAGCTGGTGAGATGGCTCAGTTAAAGGCACTAACCACCGAGCATGATGGCCTCAGACGATCCCCCAAGACCCACGTGGTCCAACTGGCTCTATCAGGTTGTTCTCTGATATCTACGTGTGTACTATGGCTTGCTTGTGTACACACACACACACACACACACACACACACACACACACAACACACACAGTGTTGGTCTGAGTGAGAATAGCCTCTACAGACTTATATTTGAATGTTTGGTTCCTAGTTTGTGAACTGTTTTGGGAAAGTGTAGGAACCCGTCTTTGGAGGCTTCATTTGGATCCAGCTGACTTGCCCAGTTCGTACCTGAGAGGGGGAGTGTGTATTGAAAACTGACAAGTAAAGATACTAAGGAAAAGATAGAGTCACAGAATAGAGTCAGGAGGGCAATCCAGAGAATACTGAATGCCCCAAGTTTATTCTTCAACATCATAATATACCCACACCAAAAAAGGGGGAAGGACAAGAGACTTCTTTACCAAGATACAAGGAACAAATAGACTTACTTCCTTAATTTTCCAAACATTCAGTAGACTAAATCTAACCTTGAGGGTTAAGAGTAACCACACCTTAGAACAAACATCCTATGGTAGCCACGCCGTAGACCTCTAGGTCTTACGACTTTAACCTTGAAAGAGTAAGGATAGTTTTGAACTCTCTGACCTTAAGTCAAGATGAAGCAGAGCCATCTCTCTGGGCCCCGACAATTCCCCCTTCTAAATTGAATTAATTAATACCTGTGCTTCTTCCACAGGACAGACAACTGTGTCTGTGTTAGGTTGTCTTCTTTCACCTTCCAGGCTTACCTGTCATTGGAACATACATTCCATCATGTGTGACCTGTCTTAGGTCACCTAGAGGCAATAAGATCTTACCCGTATTTGACTACCAGCCTCTGTAGTAATAAATGTTAGGGGGGAGTGCATAGCTTGATGCCATGCACCTCTGAGCCAACTTTTCATCGAGCGTTTACAAGCAAGCTTGACAATACTAAATAATACATAGGCTTTTATGGCTACAATATCTCCTATTAAAGGGATAAAAGATGACCAAGATAAAATGACCTTTTAAAATTGGTCTAGGATGTCTCCAGTTGTTCTAGTTGTATCAAAATCTAAATCTGCTTTTTTCATTGCATTGTATCTAAAGACTCATTAGCATCATGTCAAATTCCTATCAGAATGAGCTCTGACTTTTTTTCATCCATAAACACATAGCATAGCAAAGGTTGCAAACATTAATAATCCAGTATGATTATTAATAATAGACACACAATCTGCTATATTACAATTCTCATAATTTTGATTCAATCAAAGGGCAATAAAATGTTATCATGGTGGGTGAAGTATGAGTAACTCCACAATTCTGAACCTTTTCTTTTTCCCCTCTCTCAAAGTTCAATGCATTGCTGCTCCTACCTTCCAAAGGTAAGTTTGAGATATTACAGTCTTTGAGTACTGAGTACTAGCAGCAAAGCTTTTGTCCAGTTCCTCCTCACATACTAAAGAGGGACTTTAGCCACACATCACCTCCATAAGAGTGTTCAATTGTTCTAATGAGTCCTTTTCCCTCACAGGGAAAGTCTCTGAGGCAATAGCAGAAGTGAGTTTTGACTGGCAGAAATGAGTTCTATGTCCCAAGGTGTACTATTAGATAAACTGCTAGACATTCAGTCCTTGGCCAGATCCAGAATAAAAACTCACAGAGGTCTGGGAAGTTGGTGTAGCAGGTTTGTTGAGAAACTGGAAATCACCAATTGTAATTTCCTTTCCTTCTCAGACTGTAGAATGATGACATCAGAGGGTCAGGAACACAGGTTCAGCAGATCTCATTCAAATTCGTCTGAGGCCTCAGTAGCTATGATACCATCAGGTCGTCCAACATTCCTCTGATCTACACATCTCACCAAGCATGAGTGAATAAAATACAAACATGATCTCGACCATGTATTAAAATAGGATCGGGTCCTTTCAACAATCCAGTGCAAGAATCTTTCCATCTGATTTGAGCACAAGTCACTCAAGATAGACTCTATCTGCAACAGATTGCTCGAAGGCATCCACATTCAAGAAGTTTAAAATGAAAAGTGCATAATTCAGTGCATGATGTGGAGACTGGGGATGCAAATCCCCTTTACTTATTTTTTGAAGTCGTGTTTTCAAGGAGCTATGGGCACACTCCACAATTCTTTGTCCTTGAGGATTATAAGGATGCCTGTTTTGTGTTCAATTTTTCATTGG